CTGTTTCAGCAGGCGTTCTCAGAGTGGGCAGAGTTTTGACGGCTCATTCCCCGAAGGCATTTCGCTTCCAGGTGCAGTTTACGGACTGCCTGGTTAGACCACACAGGATTAAATATACGACCGTCGAAGTGGACTTAATTCAAACCAACTGCCAGTCCAAATGGGAAGGTGAGACATGTGTTTTTGTTGATAGCGGTGCTATGGCTAGGACAGAGATCTTGGTCGGATTCATTTGCTGATTGCTTTTAGGCGCTTTCAAGTCCACCAATGAAACTGAGTGTAGATCGTTCAAGTGAACAAAATAGAGCTGCATTTTCGGATGCACATGCATGTTCCTATCTGAGAAAAGATTGTGATGGAAATATTTTTGCCGTAAATTGCGAAAACCGTGTAGTTTATTTAAAGTACTAAATAATCGTATATCAAGGAGATTAAACCCGAAAAGATAGAAATACAGTACTTTGGTACTGTCAGCCATTCAGTTAACCTCTGAGAATTGTAACAGATTTAGTGCAAGCTTGGCGCAGGAGCAATATGGGTTCTGTGATTCACTTTTTCCTATCGTATCGCTTTCTGTAGCACCAGTCTTATTTGTAACGCCTAGGAGCATTTAAGCGTGTGTCCATCTCCAGTATTTTTCGTTTATTCCAAACAACCTTTTGTGTTTTCCAAGATTATTTATCAACCTTGCGGTTAATATTATGCCACTTCTTTGACTGTATTAATTTCCTACGCTTTCTAAATATAGCTGCTGTCGAAGCATGTCAAAAAGCAATTCCCACACTAGTCAATCTTATAATGCATTCTGTTGTCTAAAGAATATCTGTTTTCTTTAGGGTATATTGGTGCAATTTTCATAACTTCCCTGGTCTTTTTCAGTCGCGCTAAAGTGTTCTAACTTAAAAACATACTTATCTAGGTCAATTAATCACTAAAGCCTACCTGTTATGTTGTGCAAGAATATTTGCTCACAGGTTTGTTACATGAACAATCCCCAAAATCAGCTGCCATGTTAAGATATAAGTTCCCCGGTGGCATTTTGGAGCTCGCTCGCTCGTTCGTGCTGCTCCTCCGTCAAACATGTGAGTCACAGTATGACCCGAATAGCGTGTGCTGAGTAATTGGCTAGCCGAAGGCGCCCTCACACCATTGAGACATTATGTTAGCCGTTTTGCCTTACCGAAGACGATACTGATTCCCATTTGGCTCATAGCCAGATGATGAACTTTCTCGTCCAAATTTCCAGACCAAACTTTGCAGTTTTCTGTTTTCGATTGTGCTTGATTGCATCAACAAAACGAGCCACTGTTACGTGAACAAATAGGAACACGATCTAAGATCTATCGCGCGATAAACCATACTACCTTCTAAAGTTTCTAAGTCATTTTATTTTTAAATGTTCCACTTTGGTAGACATCCCTAGCTATTCTCTTCTCCATAGCCACAACTCTCCCACACCGATGCAGAAGAAAGATTTGTGCATGTATGAGTTATCTGACTTGTACATTCTCCCACCCCGAATAATAATACTTTAGACGTGTTGCCTTATCAATGAAGATACTGATTCCGTCCT